CCTAAGATTTATGAATAACATCATTTAAGGGAGTTTTATTAGAATATAAATTAAAGCGGAACACCTTGCGACTTCTAGCCAGTATTATATTCTGCACTTAAACGATATAAGAAAATAATGGAAGACATATGAAAGCTAATTAAAGTTCTTACAAAATACTCGGAATGTACAGATTCGAGTGAAATGGAATCTAGTCAATAAAATCATTTGTTATGTAATTACTAATTTATTCGGAAATTATTCATTGAGCTAGAACAAAAAAAAAACATCAAATATATCCAGCACTATTCTTAGCGTAGAGCTACGATTATTTCCCGTGATCGCTAAAGTATGCTTAATTTCGGCGATAAAGTGTAGCAGGCAATCTATTATTGATGAGCATTGCTAAGGTAACGTCAGCTCTAATTGTGCATGGAGCTTCACCAGCCAAGAAGTTTGATAAGAACATAGAGCTCATAAAATATCATCAATATATACGACTTCTTAAAATGAAACGTAGGAAAACATTTTTCGGAAAACTAACAGTAATGTCGGAAAAAATTTAATTTTCAATGCTAATTAACGAAAAATATTTATCCATTTTCACAGATAATGAATAGAAGATGCATAAATAAACTCCAACAAATCAAAAAGACCTGCTTTATAAACGGTGTTGCTAAATAATAATTGCAAGTCAGCGAAATTCACGACATGAATTCATAATTCACGAAGCGATTGGTAATTAATTAGCCTCCATCTGGGCACACATCACTGCGCCCCCGCAGCGGAAGCAGGCATTGCCGACACTCGGGACCACGCCTGATCGACGCCAGTGAGCCCGACGCGATAAGCCCTTGCTATTAGCCCCTTACTCTGGATCGCCGATCGATAAGATTAGAGTTCAGCAAAAGTAGTTTGGTTTGGACTTTACCTGAGCACCGAGCCAAGTGTTGCGAGCGAGGAAGGTGGCTGCTGATAGGTTAACGAGAGTTGCATCAGTGGAAGTGATAAGAGAACGAATGCGAAAAGAAATTTATAGAATACAAAATAGGAGGAATATTTAAACAGAATAATGTTTATGAATGCATCAGCAGCCAAAAAGAGGATAAAACCCTAAAACATCGCCATCGAACCAAAATTAATGAACACTGATGTGATAAGTTTACCCAGCTAAAGTTTACGTTAAATGGAAATTAATTTTCCGTTTCTTTACAGGATATGCTCTAATGAAAGTTCATACAAACAAACTGCACCACTAACAATTAAATCAATCAGTATAATTATGCGAAAAGATTAAGCAAATTTGCAAAAATGCAATAATGAATTTTCAGCCAATTTTTCTTCTCTAGGAGTTTTATGCAATTTACCATAAATCAGAATTAAAACTTTTTCGGGATAAGATTAATGCCTTTTAACGGATTTACGGAGATCAACGGGCATGAACAGCAATTTTGTACCCCGAAACCAGGTCTGGTCTAATTTATCTGACAAGCCAAAGTTAAGTTTGTGTTTCATCATGTACCACTTTCGTCAGCAAACTTTGGCAGTATATCAAAACTTGGTGTTTCTAGGAGCATCAGTAACATAGGTGAGCGCTACGACACTGGTGTAAAGTTGAGCCTCATTTGATTTAGGGTATAAACAAGTGGAGCCCAAGACTTGTGGGAATCTTTCGGCAGTTAAGTCTTAAAGTTCAAACCTCATATGGATGAAGCTTTGACGCTTTAATGTCCCAGATTCATAAAAGTTTCACAAAAATAACTGAAATAGAATGTTGAATTAGTTGCTTGCCGGAATCAAACAGATCACAGTCTCCATTTGTCGTCAAAACATACGCGCGATAATGAACAATAAGGGTCAGAAGAAATCACCGCACACCCACGCTGAAAATAATCCTGATCGGTCGAGGTAGGATTGGCTTGCTGGGAAGTTTGCGGATCAGTACGTTAATGATTTCATTAATTATTTTAACTCAAACTAAAACACGTTCGTTTTTCATAGACAACGCATATAGGTGTGTGACTATACGTCTAAAGATTCAGAGCCATTTTTTGTACCTGAATTCCCCGTTTCCCATTGATTCAGAAATAATAATTTCGGCAATACAATAATTCATGCACCATATGTTTGATTCAGAGGAACATCAGCAAATTTAAGTTGGCAGAATAATTTTAGCAGCTATTAATTTTCTTAAGATCCAGTAAAATCACGCAAGGGAATAATGAGAGAGCAATGGTCGAGCGATAAGTAGGATCGATCTTACAGTCATCACGCAAAGCTGTTATGAGAGTTGTAGTTGTGTAGACCAGCCTACCACTCAGGCCACACAACAAATGAAATAAACTTTTATTACTTATTTTTCAACTTTTTCAACTTTATAGGCAACCTAGTCAGTCAAAAATATTCTTTCCAGATGTACTTTAGAATAAAATAATGCAAATTCAGATGGTAAAAGAAAATCAAAGAATTTGAAAGCAAGCGAGGATTTATTGTCTGATAGCTGCACATAAGAATCATTGAAGGCCGAGTAGGTAAATGCTATAAAATTGTTATCGGTGAGTGCTCAATATTTTGGTGATAAAACCTTACTATGAGCCTCTAACGTCATATTCCCTTCCATTAAGAGCTGTGATTGACCCACACAATTGAGAAAGAAATGTAGAATTCTTCAGTTGCCTTCAATAAATTCCTAATTTTTTTAAATTGTCACTCAAACTTTTTCACGACAAAAGAACCGTTTTTTATGTAGCAAATATCGATAAGCGCAGCTGAAGACTTGGCGTCTGTATTTGTTTTCTTAGCGGTTGATGCATCAGTATAGCAAGAGGCTGAGCGCATGTTTAATTGCCGAAGAAAAATCATGTCTTGAATAAGTGCGGTGATAAATACCAGCATTTTATCACAAGAGACATTTCACTGTTTGTTTGTGAACCTTTGATGGACTGCGTGATCATCACTGTGCTGGGATAACCTTTAGGACTAATCAAGAGATTGTAATTACATCTCGTTCTGACAAGAGTGCGCTCTTACAGACATTTTCACCATCATACGAAGTTTTCTTTCATCATCATATCAGATCGAAAAATGTAGCGGGGTAATCTATGTGATGTAGCTCGTCTAGGAAAGATTACAGTTTGAGCGTCATGCAACCACTGTATTTAATGAACTTGTGCATGAGCGCAAAATGCACAAAAAAATATTTTATTGCTTGATGCCTATTGTCCGATGACAATTGACAAGTACAATATGTACGTACGTATAATATCTACGCAAGAAGTACCTATGAAAATTTATCTACGTATCTCCCTCCCCCTTTTGATTACCAAAACTACAATTCTATTACTTAGATCGGCACAGCCATATTTACAATGTTTTCAACAGATGCACATTATTATTAGTCTAATTTGTCAAATTCATTGATATACACCAACGGTATCTAAAATTGAAAGATTGTGTTATCTAAATCTCAGTCAATGAAAGAACATACTCCCGTGCATATCCTCATTTATTCGTGGCTCAATTACTAGATGATTTTATTCCGGAAGCCATGTATGTATCATTGGAGACAGGGCAGTCACCTCACATGATCATCATTATGACTATCATTGTTCACACGACAGCAGCACCTTGCATTCCTATTGGAATTACTGGCTATTTTACTTAGCAGCATTACTGCCTATAGAGGTGCGTGCGCAAATGCCAGCAGATAGCATTCAATTTGTGTGCGTAGTTCTTGCATGTATTATTAAACATTCATTCCAAATGCTGTCTACATTATGCACGCAGATTAACTAAATAATATTGTCCATGCGATCTCTTTGCTGAGGCATGAATTACATCGAAACAGGCGCTGAATATTCCAACACAAATGCCCACGATTATTATTATATGACGATATGGACTTAACTGCACAGATGATAGCATTGAAGATATACTCCGGGGAATATAGATGTAGTTGCCGAAGTAGAAGTTTGAGGATGAGAACATTATTTGATTAAAAATAATAAAAAAATGTGAAGTTTGCTCTCCAATACATTCCTTGCTCAATGATTTCTCAAAATATCGAAAAGTCTTGCAGTAATATTGTATAAAATGACCGTAATTATAAGAGACGTAATCATTCCAACTGAAGAATAAGGCAAACCTCAGTCCCAGTCACGTGCAAAGCATCCTTTTTTGAATGGTGAATGTGTTTTTGAGTTCTTAACATATAATACTTTCATTTTCCGAAAAGACGTTGATTTTAATAATAGGTATTTACCAAAAACCTAATAAAAAAGGTATGATTTCACTAAAACAGATTCCTTTGCATTCTGTGTAGTTGGGAGAAAGATAACACAGCGAAATTTTAATTAACATGAAAACTTTGTACATATGCTGCAACTTTCAAATCTATAGCTAATAATTTATATTGCCATCGCCATGGCGTCGCCAATAACGAGCTTTAATATCTCATTAGGTGATTTGTGATCTTATTAAGCATGACAATTCCCGAAATAATCTGGTCATTGATTGCAGCAAGATTTATCTTGATTGCTATCATTATAAAAAAGAATTTTATGCATAATGAATTAGCTGGACGTACATTGGGATGGGTCATATGAATACTAAATGCGATGAATACCTCTCTTGTACTGTACAGTGACATTTACTAGAGAAGAGTAAATGTAAACAGGCAGCCTTCGGTCAATGATGAATGACAAAAGACAGCAATCATTCAATTCTGACATGAATTAATCATTCCGCGTACCGTGCTTTATTTCGAAATGTTCAGCGTAAGTGACGATCTCCTCGCATATGTTAATGTCTCAGGCTGATTCTGATCCGGAATTACCTGAAATAATTCATACAGAGCCTAGAATGTATTTATTTCTAGGCACCTAAGCTTATCCATCATTTTACAGGTTTTTGTACTCAGTGAAGGAGAATGCCATTGAAAGCATGTTAATGATATGTCTTTAGTTGGATTACACTATATACGCAAAAACATTGATTATAATTAACCGCTTTCAGATCTTACTCATTCCATGAAGCGAAGGTGTGAGGTATCGGCTTGAATATAAAATTAGCATTCGAGATTAGACTCACCAAAGAAATGGCAGGAGTGAGAATAAATGACGTGATTTGGTCGAGAAGACAACCGCGAAGCCATGGCAGTTGTGCTGAAGCTTGTACGTCAGAGCGGCACTGTAGGAGCTGGAGGCCAGGGAAAAGATCGTCGTCATCTGCGTGTGTGAAGGCGCCAGCGCTGGTGTTGCTCGTATGTTCGGCTGTTGCTTCCGCAGCAGCTTCAGGTAACTATTCTTTCATTTACTGATTTCAATGCACTCTTGGGAATACGAGATGTAATGTCAAAATCGCTGTTATTTTAGACCATTTCATCAGCATCATTTTATTTTGTAATGAATCTTATCGTGTTCTTAGTACGGCTATTGTGGCCCTAGCAACTTCAGGTAATTATTCCTTTTATTTTTGTTAGGACCATAGACTACATTGAAAATGAAATGCAATGTAGAATCGCCATTTTTTCAAAAAATTGCATCAGCAGGATTTTATTTATAAAAAATTTTATAATTGTGTTATTATACAAAGATTGCTATATGTTTTAGTACCCTGAAAAATCGCCACTGGAGTTCATGACCGATCGTTATGGCTGCACAAAATTCGGTCTGAATGTTGACTAATTTTTTTAAGCTACTAATTGTCACGTCTGTAGTCTCTGTTATTAAGGAAATGACTACCAGTCGAAAATTACATTAAGATTACCGTTGGTGTTCACGTATGTCCTATCAAATCTAAGATAAGATTCCACCGGACTTTTTTTGACACGCTGGATAATTATTATAAAAGCTCATGCGAATTGTATAAGCGAAATGCTGCTGCTTCATTAAAAAAGCACTTCCATGCTTTGTACTGTAGCCACTTCTGACGTCCTACATCTCCTAATTGAATATTCTACTGTTGCAGCCTGAGCGCGCTTTAAATTGCCTCATCGGCTCCAGCTGCACAAAAATCTTTTAACAATTTTAGCGCAAGAATTTTGCCAAGGTGTGGCACGGAGGGACCCGAATGTTTTTTGCCTTAAATATTAAATAGATTTAGATCGGAGGAAATTATCCAGTAGTCAAAATGATGCTGCACCGTAGCACGACATGGATGTGTCAGGCGCTGCACCGTAGCACGACATGGATGTGTCAGGCGCTGCACCATAGCACGACACGGATGTGTCAGCCGCTGCACCGTAGCACGACACGGATGTGTCAGCCGCTGCACCGTAGCACGACATGGATGTGTCAGACGCTGCACCGTAGCACGACATGGATGTGTCAGCCGCTGCACCGTAGCACGACATGGATGTGTCAGACGCTGCACCGTAGCACGACATGGATGTGTCAGACGCTGCACTGCAATTTTCGTCGAGGCTGCGCGACGAAAAGCGACCAATTTTCGGCTCGCTGTCTCCTCGAAATGGATTATGTTAAGGCGACAGCGCGCGCGGCCCCAGATTCCTTGTCGCGTCCTCAAGATGGATGGCAGGAGCTCAGATTGAGCTTATAATTTAAGCTAAATATTTCTTGCAAGCGCCACCAAAGCGCCTGCACAAGAGTAAGGAATACGCACATTTGACGTATCTTTATACATACATTTACTTAGACGAACAAATATGGATAGAAACAAACGCCGTCACAGTTTAAATACAAGATCTCACTCAATTGGCTAGCTTGCCTCCACGATTGTTTCAAACTCATAAAAAAATTATCAGCAATCAATTGACTTCCTCAATGCCATCATCTTTTGCATTTGCATTGATAGGATTGCACTAATTCAGTACGATGAAGGTCCTCTACATACGCGACGATATCTAATTACCATTTATTTGCTGAGTAATGCCTGCCTAATTTTCAATCTGCTGGTTTACTCCCTATATGATGCGAAACTCTAGCATAATCAGCGAATTGGTATAGGCTTGTATTAATTTTAGTGTTACCGATGTGTAAAGATAGCGAGCGTAATTGAAATTGATGAAAACTTTCAAACGATTCCAAAATGCTGGTTTAGAGACTAAATAGACATGGCCTGAAAAAGCCACTACGAAAAAGTAGTTTTGAAGTAAAATATATTAACTATGGAAAAAATAATGTGAATCAATAAATCGGCTCACTGAAATAAATCGACTCAATAAATCGACTCACTGCAATAAATATAACGCAGGACCGTATTTACAGGACCGTTTGTTCAATATTGCTATCTTCATATTATGCAATGATACGCGTATATTATGACACGGCCCCAGGTTCGACATAAGTCTCCCACACGACATAAGTCTCCCACGAAGTACATGTGCATGTAAAGTTAGAAGTATCACCCAAATTTTAATATGCATCATGCAATATACCACAATTTCAGCGGTAAACATAGTCATTTCTTGAATTGTCATGTCAATGAAAACTCACCAGAGTATTGATTCATTATTAAATGTCGTACAAAATTAAATATATCTTTTAAGAATTGAATTTAGACGAGTAAATGCCCTGCAAGAACAGAACTGATTTCAAATTTGAACTCCATTCAAGTGAAACTCGTCAGAAGCGAGCTTCAGAAGCGAGCTTTTATTTTGTAAATACAATCTTTTACATTGTAACAGCAGAAGTCGCACATGGTAACAGCAGTATACGTAGCCGCTCTTCTCAGCGCGATAGCTGCAGACTGAACAAAACTGCGATGGCTGCAGCAAACAGCAAACACTCGCCGCGTTGCAAGGAGTAAATCGAATTTGGCCACGCCGAGCATTTTATCGAAGTTTCTTGCATGTTTATGAAATGAAGCGCGCCAGTCAAACAAAGTTTACCTAAAATTAAACCATGAACAGTTTCAAAATGAAAATTGGAATCGCACATCATACGCATAATTTTGAAATAAATAATACGTGGAAAATAATGAAATATGATCTACGTAGTCCTAATAGATGAAATGATATTTTTTATGCGTGATCCATCCTAATGAAGCAATAACTTTTTCATTCCTCAGGAAGCTCAACAAGTCCACACCAGCAACAACAGTTTAGAAATTCGTTACTGAATGATGAACGGGGAGCAGGTATAAATAACAACAGACTGGACTCAACATCACTATCATCATTGTTACCATCAAATAGTGGTAAATATTCATCAAAGTCTAGTTTAGAAACGAAATATGACGAACAAAGCGACGAAGAGCACATGGGCTATTTGTCGTTCGATGAGTCGTCAAGTAAAGACAGCGAAGAGTTTGAAATCAACGATGAACTTCCCCTCGGCTGGAACTGGGCGATGTGGTGGACATACGAGGGCATTTCAGGTGAAATTGATGTTGGTAAAATATTTTATATTTACTTATTATCTTACCTAATTGCGGTGCATTGCATTATAGATGATGTTGGCGGTGTTAAGATGAAAAAAGTTAAATGTAAAAAAAAATCACCGCTTGATTCAATGGTAAACGTTACTATTTTAAAAATAGATATTATTTCTCGACAATTTATAAGTAAACTACTATGAATAAACATGGACCGTACTTTGTCAATACGGCATCAGTTAATAAAGCAGTTCCACGAATATTTGAATAATAATAAATAGTTATACAATACGATTCCCATCAGTTCTCGCTTTTTATCGTCATCTGGTCATTAGAAGCTCATCCCAGCGTTTCTTTGAGTCTCACTGATTTTTAATTTCAAAGATCGACTGCGCTTGATTACAGAAAGGTTTCCTTTGGCAGTAACGCCAGCATTTTCCACTGCTTAATTATTACGTAATCTTAAAAAGACTATTATGGGACTATAGACAGCAATTAGCATTATACTCATTTTGTTATGGGTTTTGTACCGAATAGTTTGTGACGAAAAATATTCACAAAAATTTAGATCCATGGTTGACTTCAGATTTACTGTATATAGGGCATCAAAAATTTTTTTACCGATTCACTTCCCATCATGAACCGACTCTATATTGGTCATTATTTGAATAAATTTGATTTTCGTCCTTAATTATAGATGAACATTAACATCACGAATTAATACGAAAATAAATAAAGTGGTTTGGTTCTTCTACAATGCAACACTCTTAATTTCCCAACATATTACCTGTGCCACCAGGTCCCGAGTTCTGGGGTGTGATCAACCCCGCATGGGTTATGTGCTCAGAGGGGCGCCGCCAGTCTCCCATCAATCTGGATCCCCGCACACTCCTCTACGACCCTAACCTCACCCCTCTACTGGTCGATAAAACTATGGTGAGCCTTTAATTTCACCGAAGAACAATTTTCTTGCCTTTCACTTCCATTTTCCGCTTACCTTTCGGTACACATTGCTGGTCCAAGCCGAGAAAGAGGTATCCGGACTTCACCTTTGTTTCCGTTTCTAAAAATCCTAACAAAGACATGGTAGAAAAATTGTCGAGCAAACGCTGATGAAATGACCAAATTATAATGCAAAAATTTCTTGATAAAATGGTAAGTCAAACAACTAACACGGAAAATTTATGATGAGGTTAGTTAAAACCAAATTTACTGTGCGTTAGCGTAATATTAATCTAACTTTCAATTTCCATTAGTTATTGCACAGATGTTTTAGAATTTAGATTAAATAAACTTGACACTCACATTTTTTAACGCAGTCGTGTTAAATATTCCTTACGTCCCAGTCAATTAGCATGAAGCATAAATCAGGATCGACGAGTGATTCTTTAGCTCGACAGAAACTACACATATTGCCATTATGTTTATTAGATTTTGCGATGAATTTTGCTTCAGGAATGCCATTGAAGAACCCTCGTTTGTGTTTGACCAGGTTGCAGGTGAGCTCGTCAACACTGGCCATTCCCTGGAATGGCAAATGCAGGAGGTGAGGGACGACCAGCATCGGGACAGCAGTCGGGATAATTATCGCGACAGAAATAGAGGTCTTGACATGACCGGTGATGACGGTGGCCCCCCCACCAGGGACCGTCATCTGCCATTGCCAATGATGGGGGCGGTGAACGTGTCAGGAGGCCCTCTGTCTTACCAATACTCATTGTCCCGGGCTCGGCTACACTACGGGGAGCGAGACATCCAGGGCTCCGAACACACCATTGACAACCACGCCTTCCCTGCTGAGGTCTGATTTTCGCTTCATCTTTTACACATCTTCGTTCTAGACTATCGCCGTAGGCTCTGCGAGGAACCGGTTGTTGCTAATTACAAGATCAGAACAAATTTAAGAAAAAATCAAACTGATATTTCTCTAAAATTAGCCAATCTTGATATCTCTTTGAGATATGGAGATAGACTGAATAGCAGCCTGATCTCATAATTGACAACTACCCAAGCCCCGCAGATCCTACGGCCGTAGTTAAGAACGATCCATCGTGTTAAAGTTTTAGATTTTATATCGCGCCTATCAATCTTCGCAAATCAGTATTTATAATGTATTTTTCAGCGAGCCAAGTTACTGTAGGTGTCGCGTCAGCAAAAAAGTGACCTTCGACTACCATTAAAGGTCTTTCTGCATCAGTTCGAGATTTTTCAAACCAGAGTTCATGAAATAAAATAATAGATCTAATGTGACAAGTCGTGTCAGCCCCTGAGCCCAACTTGAACACAGTCGTCAAGTCTCGTCTTTATTTGAGATTTATTCAACTACTCGTGCCGCTTCAAGCTGTGCCTAATTTGTGAGAACCTTGTTATTTTCGGTACATTTAATACCCTCAGCATGGTGTGCAGCTGTCATTTAATTCGGTTCTAGTTTTGTAAGTTCTCAAGCAAACTCTTTGAAATTTATTATGCCTTGTGTTTTCTATCAATTAATCTCGCACTCTTATGATTTCCATTGTATATTCCCTAAAAGACGAAATTAAGTAAGGACGTTGATTAGTTCGTTAATTTTTTGTTATCTGAGAATACAATCTTGCATAGCTGTATAGAATTTTTCGGTCACGTCATGGCACACAGTTGAAAATATTTAATTATAGTGAAAGTTGTATCCCTAAAATGAATGAGACACTATTCAGGGATTATGAATAAATTGAACTTAGAATAGGCAGTGAAAACTGTCACTGAAGTTTCATGAGGGAAAACGTCTTATTGATGTTTGCATTGGATTGCCGAAATATTACTCCGAATATATTTTTATTATATTTTTGAAATAATATTGTTCCTGTTATATCGCTAACCTAATCACATTAATATTCAGATTTTGGCTCTCCCAAAGTGGAATTTTTAAACGAGTTACGTGGAGCGAAAATTGGGCACTAAACTAAATATTCGAATTTGGATCATTCTCTCGGGAGGTTTTGTCGCCATGCAAGCTTTTGATTCTAAATATATTGCAGAAAATTGTCGTCAGACATTTTGTGGATGGCTTTGTTTCATATTTTTGAGGCCGAGTGATAATTCAATGAGTCGAGTAATAAATGCTTCGTTAATTATTCACACAATTATAGAGCTCTAATTACGTAGCTTGCACCTGCGGTGCGAGCCTAGCTTGTTTGATGCGACGCTCGCGAAAATCTAGTCGGAAATGAAAGATGCAATTATATTAAATGCCTAAAAGTTTGTTGTGCACTCAATGAAGAGCATTATATTCACACCAAAATTGGAGGTTATTTTGCATGTCGAACTGGTCACGCCACAGTGACGGACGCAAACCTGGAAACAACCTTGTTGCTATTTAAATTCAATTACTTCAATGCGTAAGTGGCTCCATCCGACTGCACTATCGGCTAAAATGAGAGCATTGATTAATAATTAGTCAGTAAATATTAATGTGGCTGACCTAAGGCAAAAGAGTAAATCGATTCCTAAACCGTATTTCACCGTTTAAAGTTTAGCGCCATTGACCTGTCACTGATGTTATTAACAATGAAGAACATTGTGATTTCACTTTATATGAGAATTCAATCCCATTCAAAATAGAATTTGAAATTGTGCTAAACAAGTAATTGTGCTTTTACATTTCTAAATATTTCATAAAGTACTTTTCTATGACAGCTGCAGCTATACGGCCACAACAGCCAACTGTATCCTAACCTGACGGTGGCCGCGTCGCATGTGTACGGAGTGCTTGCCGTCTCTGTGCTCATACAGGTGAAGATCCAGCGCAAGTTATGTTATCAGAGTTTTATCAGGCTCATTAGTGACAACTTTTACGGAAATTATACGTGGCGTTATTCTTTATTCATTTCATACATTTGCAGAGCAAGCCTACATTTTCATTTAGAGCCTTGCTCTGCAAACGTGGGAATTTACAGTACGGTCTACAGGAGCGGTGATTGATAAATTTATCATTTGTTCGAGCAAAGCTCATCTTATTGACGATAAAAATTTTTTTGCTACTGGGAATTTCAATACTAAGATCTTTTCAACAGACAACTTGAATCGATTACTACTCAAGAAATTGCATATCTAATTTTATTTGATGAAATGCTTATTAATTTATTGATAATAGGTAATTTGGGGTATTAGAGCGGACCGTCGATATCAGATCAATTTATTTATAGTCAGGTAACCAAAAATAGAAACTTTTGATTCATTTAAACTGAAATGCTCGATAATTTTATCAAGGTTTCCTAGCGATGCCAAGTAATTCCTTCAGATCAACAGCAGATGGTCAGGAAATTTGGTTTCAATATGATTGAAAAATTATGTCAAACATCTTTAATTTTAGAATTTCTTTTTTATAATATATTTCTGTAAACGTATTATTAGTCTAATTTATAAATTAAATAAATTATAAAAGATCGTTCTATCTGACAGCTCGGTGACCGCACCTCCCCCGCCTTAGCCACAATTTTGGAAGGCCTACACAAAGTTACGTTCGGAGGTGAGCTGTACAGAATTTCTGGCTGTTCATTTAGCCTTGAGCTATTCACCAGCACCAAAACCTGGTCAATATTTTCTGATATTATCCCATATCTAGACTTATAAAATTGTATTTACCGCAAAAAATTTTCACATGAAACTCTTCTCATCAAGAAATAATATTAAGAAGCGACTTATATACGTAAACGTTAGAGTTTTTTCGGCAGCTCAGATTTTTTAGAAGAAGTAAATCATTAAGACTAGGATTAATGCTTTTAAAGTCCGTTAAAGCAAAAATGCGAAATCAACCATAATTCCTAATGTCAGCCTAAGCCATTTAGGCTTAGTTTCCACCAAGTTAGTTTCCGCCTAAGCCATTTAGGCTTACTTTTCACCAAGTTAGTGTCAGCCTGAAATCGTTGATGGAAAAAACCTCCAACTCAAAAATGTAAACTAATTGCTTATAATTAATGCGCTTCTTTCTGGTGCAAACTCGGACATAAAAGCTATTATAAAAATGGTATAGTTTAAAGTTCATTCTAAATGATATTTGTTACATATATTTAATTATAAGACAAACTTAATCATATAACATATGAAATTAGTGTCAGTGTCATATGAGGTTGAATGACTTCATATGAATAATTTTCAGAAATTTTGCATAACATCCACCGCTCCGACATTGAGCGTCAATCGAGTTTGAAAAGCTAGCATACCATTTCCATTATCCGGTTTTTCTTAACTCGATGATTCGACCAAACTAAAAAGTTTTGTCTCGCGATGAGCGGCTCGTGAACGTTGACGCGTTCCACTAAATTGTACGTTGAACAAGTTTGATGCGTAACATGACGCCCACTGTTTCGTTTTCTGCACCGGTCATGCGTAGCTATACGAAGAATTAACAAAATTGCGGAGTAAACTTGACACGTAGATGATATAAAGTGGATATTATAACAAGAGGGACAGAGTTACATATATTAATTAAAAAATTTCAACAGCGATTTGGCAGATTAACCTTGTTGCTGATCGAGTGAAATGATCTCGATCCATTGTTGGAATTGATCATCGAACTGTTGGAAACCATTTATAAAATCATCTTCCAGGTTATCACAATGTTTCTTAAACTAAACATTACTGTATTAATTAAGGGGAATATCGCTCAAATATTTCAAACTAGAGACAAATCACTCCCGTTTAACTCCAGTTTTTAAATTGTAGGAAAATTAGGATCTTTAATTAATTTTCGATTTCCACTGAAATTTTATTAGATAAAAAATGTATTAACTTTCTCCCCAAACGTGCGCTTCGTGATATATCACGACGCTAACAACGAATAGAAATTTTTTCGTCTTCGACACCCAAGGCACGGGGAAGGATAGAGCGATCAGTCAGATTGTACTTGGAATAATGATCATATATATGAATTTGCTGGAACGGGCTGTTAAGGTTGTCGCGTGTCATGAATTACCGTAATGCTATTATATTCGAAGAAGAAAGGATAACACGTAAATATTCCGTGCAATAACACAAGAACACTAAATTGTTACTTTTGTCTCGCACGCATTAAAATTTGTCTGACAAATTGTGTTAAAACTTCTCTCAACGTTCTTAAAAGTGTTAAAACTTCTCTCTGGCGGTATAGAGAGAAATCAATGAAGCTTTAGTTAAGTGAAGGGCGTCTATCGTCAGAATTAGAAAGTTGTGCAAGGTAATGACAGCTAAGACACTACATTCGATTAATAATACCGCGCGTGATGACAAGCAAGCGTGTCTTCTGACCAGGGTCGAGAGTGAGCGTGAAGCCGTTGCGGTTGTCCGACTTATTGCCAAGCCACTCCCACTACCTCACCTACGAGGGCTCCCTCACCGAGCCAGGGTGCCACGAGACCGTCACCTGGGTGCTGCCTAACAAGCCTCTCTATATCTCATTCAGTCAGGTGAATAATAATAAGATTACTACAATAAAAAACATCTATTATGCCAGGAAAAAAAAAATCATTAAAACAACTGGCGAGGTGTCCCAACTTTTTTGGTCAGTCTTCACTTTGAACCCATGCGAATTTTTACCCTCCATCTGTTATCGAGGGGGAAAAAAGTATATTGGAAAAATGTATTTCTTCTGTGTTGAATTATGGGAGTAAAAATATAGGTCCTGCTGCGCACTCTCACCTGAATCGGAAAGCAAAGATAAGGTACAACGGTAGACGGAAAACGCTACGGTGTTTCCTTCGTAATCTAATAAAAATATTTGCCACTGTTTGTACTGAAAAAAACGTGTAAGATGTTCATGTGCTTAAAAAATACTCCCCCATGTTAATTAAGCCTCCATTTTCGTCTTGTGCTCGCAATAGTTTGAAAATCATTAAAATTCACGGTTATATGTAGCCTGTCGCATTCATTCACAATAATAGATTTTACTGAAGCTACCAAACCACCCGTTGACTAAGCTAGGCTGGTGACTCATTGAATGGGGTAAATATACTTTTGCATTCAGTCACATGGATATATCCTAATGAAGTGTATAAATAACCAACAATTTAGCCACGATAATGACTCGTTAAATATGGTGAATATCTCGTCGCATCCAATTAGGTGACTGGATTTTAGTGTAGCTCCTAATGAGCTAGCAACTCATCCTCATTTCATGCAGTTGGGTAAACGAACGCTGATGAGAATATTTTATTGTTAGATGCTTAATCCAGACTAGTGGCCCATTAAATCGGGAGAATGCTTTTAAAACATTGTATATTAGGCAGTTGGGAAATAGACGCTAATGAAGTTATTAAATAAGTGATTCATTGTCAGAATTATCATTAAGTTAGGTGAATATTTCGCATGCAGGCAGGTGAATAGAGAATTTTAAAGCTATTGAATAAACCGATTGATCAGACCTGGCTGGATGCTTAATAAATCGGATGAATATCTATTCTAAAACAGTTATGTTAATTTTTTATTTATATAAAATAAAATTGTCACAAACTCTTAGGAGCATCTTCATGATTAATTTAAACGATTAATCTATTCTCATTTCGGAATATTATTCATGAGCGGTTAATAATCTTACTTGATTTACGTTTATCAATCGTTTCGTTTCTCCCGCGGAAGACACGCGTCTGGCCTCTCTCATCGATCAATCGATTTTCATCAATGAACGTGCATCAGTCGTACTCATTCCTTATTTACGTTGCACAAGCCATTACAAATCAACGCGTTCCTATAGTATAGACACTGATTTAAAATTGTATTCTTCGCCTGACGCAAGTTCTTTCTCTACGCGCAGATGCGGTTACAAATCCACGCATTCCTATAGACACTGATTTAAAATATTATTCTGCGCCTCGCTCAAGACGCAAGTTCTTTCTCTACGCGCAGATGCGGTTACAAATCCACGCATTCCTATAGACACTCATTTAAAATATTATTATGCGCCTCGCTCAAGACGCAAGTTCTTTCTCTACGCGCAGATGCGGTTACAAATCCACGCATTCCTATAAACACTGATTTAAAATATTATTCTCCGCCTCGCTCAAAACGCAAGTTCTTTCTCTACGCGCAGATGCGGTCTCTACGAGAGCTGCGACAGGGACCATCTCTGCACCACCGCAACGCGCCGCTAGGCAATAACTTCAGACCCCTACAGCCGTCCCATCACAGAACTGTGCGCACCAACATCGACTTCACCTCCACCAGCCCGCCAGAAACGCTGGCTGGGGTGAGTTTGGGCAACTTTGGTGGCCATGTGTATCAAAAATTTTAATTCGATTAAATACGTTCGTCTTGACTGAAGTAAAGTATGTCTTATAGTAAGAAAGTATTAAATAATTTCGTCTTGAAGCCATGTTAAAAGAGTTCTTTTCTACTTCTTGCTGCAATATTTTAGAAAAATACAATATTAAAATTTGAAGCTGACATATATTGAACAGATGTTTTCTATTACAGCGGAAATGTTCGATGGCTGAATCCAGATTTCATTATCGAGGTAAGAACTTGCTGATCTCATCGCTTTACCCGGAACTTCATAGCAATTCCGATTACATTTAAATTGAATAACGTTACCTACTGCAAAACCTTTCTATGCATGAACACAAAGTGCGATCTTTTTTGTTGTTTTCTGCATGGTTTATGAATAGCACATTATCTTTTTGAATGTTTTGAAGGCATTTTATTAGCATACTTTTCAAGAAATACAGTTTTTCTCATTTGTCTTATATTTTATTCATATATCAATGAATATTTGTCGAAAATATTGCCAATTATCCATCATGATGCTCATTGATAAAACTATACAGTATTCATATTTTATTGAACTTATAATAATTAATTAATAACCTCTAGATTCCCATAAAAGTCCCTATAAATGTAATGGTCATTCCTATAATGAACAAGTGGAAGAGTGTTTATGTAATAATGATAACTCGTTAATTTCCAACGTGAAGCATCTGTAAACGTGTGATTTGCGATCATCGGACTGTTATTCAATTTAAAAATTCAAAAATATATAAATTTATCCAATTGATACTCCTTTTGATTTCAAAAGTTCTTCAATCTACATCACGATTCATTTAACAGCGAACGACCTTCTACGATCCTGACAAGAAACAACAGACGCGAGTATTGCAGCGGATGACATGGAAGGCCGCAGCAACTTACTGCTGTAGCGACCTGATCTATTGAGTGTCCAGTAGTCTGCCGAGAGTCCGGTAGTGGTCTGATCTATTGAATGTCCAATAGTGGCCTGGTCTGCCGAGTGTCTGGTAGTGGTCTGATCTATTGAATGTCCAACAGTGGCCTGGTCTGCCGAGTGTCCTGTAGTGGTCTGATCTATTGAATGTCCAATAGTGACCTGGTCTGCCGAGTGTCCGGTAGTGGTCTGATCTATTGAATGTCCAACAGTGGCCTGGTCTGCCGAGTGTCCTGTAGTGGTCTCATCTATTGAATGTCCATTAGCGGCCTGGTCTGCCGAGTGTCCGGTAGTGGTCTGATCTATTGAATGTCCAATNGGTAGTGGCCAGATCTACCGAGTGTCCGGTAGTGGCCAGATCTGCCGAGTGTCCGGTAGTGGCCAGATCTACCGAGTGTCCGGTAGTGGCCAGATATGCCGAGTGTCCGGTAGTGGCCAGATCTACCGAGTGTCCGGTAGTGGCCAGATCTGCCGAGTGTCCGGTAGTGGCCTGGTCTACCGATTGTCCTGCTCTGTACAGTCTCAGAATACTACAATGTTAAAGCATATCATCTTCTGCTAGCCCAAACACAAGTGTTACCGCTCATGAGAACAGGCCTATGAATATTCAAATTATTTTCATGTGTGACTTCAGTTTATTTGTAAAACATAAAAGCAAATACTAATCAGTTAGGGCTAAATTCAAATTCAACATACAACAAGTTTTTCATATATGATAATTGCGAACGAATTTTTAATAATAAATGACCATATAGGTGAAAATTATGGACATTGGGGAGATGATGTGAAAATTTTGTAAAAATTGAAAACGGTTTGAACGATCACTCCATGAAAAAATTAATGAATGTGTCTCAAATATCATCAACAAATCAGGAACATTTTGTTAACTGAACTTTACGTTCGTCAGGTTCTTTTTCTCCCCTTAATTTCGTGAAGTTCTGTGGGAATTTATACGAAATTACTGCAAAAACTTCATTTCGTCCAGCGGATCTCCATTCTTAAAGATTACGGCGACTACGGCCTGTGCGTAGGGTAACCTCTGTAAAGGAGAGAAGATATGCAGCAATGAGTTCCGCTCAAAACTTAATCCGACCTTTCATATCAAGTGTGCTAAATCATAAATATCATAACGAATTATTAATTCATAGTGGAGAACAAAATAGTTCCTGTAATAAAGTTTTTTTATAGAAATGTATTTTCATTGTCTGACCTCAACGTATTCGAAACATTCGACTTTTTTCCCAGGTTAAAGGACGGAGTGTATTCTTGATCGCAGATTAGACGGTCAATAGATAATGAAAATTTTGAATATCTTTGAGGAAATTCCGAATAGGCTTGTGTACGGTGGAACTCATAAGACAATCTATTATAATTATTTGCCGACTAAGAATTTTGACTGTGCAGTATACATTCAGTTTAGCCGTTCTGAATATAGTAAGAAGACAAATTTATGGAATTAAAATTAGCATGTATGTAATCATTGCAGCCATTGTCAAGTTCCCTTATAGAAATTGTTCAACAAATGACACGATTTTACAGACGGTCATCATCAAGATGGTAGGAATTTGGACGTTATGTAATAATTTCAGGATTGGTAATGAGCTAATGATATCTTATAGAAATGTTTATTTTCGATTATAATTGTTCAGTTATATTGCAAAGATCTTACCTAGCAATATCAGATTTATACGATGCGAAAAACGTCCTATATATAGGACGTACTGACGAGCATCACTCGTCATACGAATTAGTGAATAAATTAATTCCTAAGCCATGTTAAATAATGGAATCTTGAAGTCCTAAGAGATAGAAAAAAATCGAGGATTGCAATTTATAGTACGAATGAATTAGTTTTATGTAGAAATCGTAGCAATAATTTGCGGTTAGTAATGTCGACAATACGTAAACTTGGATGGAATGAAACTATGCGGTTATTTTATTACAAAAAAGGAATGGTCTCCAACATCCAAAGGACCAACATCTTAGCGTCCTTGACAGAATGAGATGAGGGAAGATAAATCAATGCGAAGTAACTTGTATTATTATAAGATTATAAGTTGTATCTAACTTATATTTCGACTCAGCGCACAAATTACGAAAAGAAAGGAGCTCAAAGAAATACGAACAATTCTAGAAAATGTAAAAATATTGTGTGTCTCATTTAAATTCAGCATGGGATCTTATGTTGAAGGTTGTTTAGAACTTGGCGATCAGCAGCTGTTATGCAAACTCAATAACTTCAACAAAAGTTCGGTAAGAAGTGTATCAAATAACTTACGGTCTCGTGACCTCAATTGCATGCTATTCACACCTCGCTTGAAGTTAGCTTTCATTAAACGGCCAAAGAAAAAAAATTTCCAAATGTAAATTAATAGTGCATCTCCATCTATCACCTTTGGTAGATAAAGGAAAGAAATTTTTATTGCATAAAAAGTCACATTGAAACGGAAATATTGCTGCCTGCTGTTATATTTAAGGGAATAATGTCTTAGCATGAAGTCAAGCCAATTTTTCATTGCATGAGCATAAAGCATGTAGCAAAGATATTCTTCCCAGGGATTATTCACGTATTATGATACACTTTAAACTTTAATGAAGCAGACTGTCAAATATATAGCTACATATATTCGTATAAAGAAGTTTTAAGCTCCTGTGAAAGATGAAGTTTCGAACTAAACGGCAACTCCAGCCATGCACCGATATAAGAGTCTGTTATAATACGGTAAGTGCATGTGGGATGGCAGAATGATGGGTGTTACGCAATTTAAATATACGCTTTTATTTGTGTTTGATTTATGTGTATATGGTACATTTAACATGCAATTGGTTCTCAAGCTGTAATAATAATTTTAATGATCCGTGTCCAGAAGTGCAGCTGTGCCTGGATTCCTTGTTGAATTTCCATATGCCAGCTATTTACTGATGGAGATTATGGCACCGATGCATCTGAAGTTCCTGATATTGCAGTCAAATGTTGATTGGAATTTTGACACCAAATTACTTTCGCTATTGTACACTTAGGAACCATTTTAACTTGGAGACGATTGAATTTAGAGCTGGATTTATTGGAAACTATTCAAAATATGCAAGCGTCTTCCCAATAAAAATATGGCATGTTATCTTTTTTTACAGCAGAAATATGTTGAATTTTTCACTAAATATCTACATTCAAATAATAACTTCCATGCCAATTTCAATATATACAGACGTAAGAAACAGGTTTCGATGAAGTAATTTGTGATTTAACTTGGTTCTCATCTAACTTACATGCACTAAACGAATTAGCTTGGTTCTCTACTACGCGCTAAATAGTGAGCAATAAATGATGTAGCTTGGATTTCGCCACCATTTTATAGATATGGCGATAATTCCACAAGTAATTTATTTGTCTTCCTCTTCCCACAGGAAAATAAGAACAAATAATTGAACAAACCTTAAACAAAAATACATCTAAAGAAAATTAGCGAGTAAATAAGTGAAAAAAATTATAAACCTAGTCAACCTCATCAGAAAATGGGAAGAAATGCACACCATCCGAGCGCCACATAATCGTGAACAAGAAAACCGCGCTTAAACTACCAAGTTGAGTTTATTTTCGAAGACATCGTGAACAAAACCTTAGCTTTCTTGCGACTGAGTTGGCTCGCAGCGCTCCATTTTGCTGGAATAAAACTGAGGCGGGAACCAAAGTTGTGCAGTAATCTTGTGAAGCTTTGAGGGGATTAAGTCGCGATGCTGATGACGCTGCGTATTTTTGCGTGCCTAGCAAATTGAGTGCTGACGTTCACTTTCGATACTTGTTCCAGTTCGGCCGAAATTGTCGAGGAAAAGCGAATTTTGCTCGGTGAAAATGGATCATTGAACTAGCAATGAAAACCCGAGCCAAACAATTCACTTGGATTGACTTCAAAAATTAATGGCGACTACTGGTGGCAAGGACATGCAGATGCAATCGTTCAGTTTTATTATCGAGAATTCGTTCTGGCGGGAAATCATAACAGTCATTTGGAATTGCTTTATGATTCAATGGCTAAACAAATTCGTCATTGAACGGGTAATGTCTTCGTGATTCCCAGAATTAGGCTCTCAATTTCAGACAATTATTTTGTATATGATATTACCGGATAACGTATTGACACATTTCTCTCAATAAGTACTAATGTCCCCAAAATATAAACAAGGATAGTAGATCGCAACATCCTTACAGTGAATAGCAAGCATAGCAGGGACTGGAAAGGTCCACGCATTAAACTAGGTAAGAATAGGATGCCTGCATCATACCCTTTATGAAGATGGTGGTTCGGTTGATATCCTGTTAATTTTTGCCTACCACTAATTGAGGGCTAGCAATAAAGCAAACAGAACTTAATTTAGTTTTTAAAAGTCACAACTAATTTCGATCTGACCTCCAAGGCTGTTTTCGGTAATGGAAAACAGTTGAGCCGGATAAAATCAATTAACCACTCTTCCCTTCACATAGCTTTGATCATATAATCCACACGAGCCGTGACTCGGTGAACGCCATCCAATCTATGCTCAAAATTTAAGCGCTTCAAGTTTGTTCTGAGGTGTGGAGGGAAATCCGACAAGAAATTTTTGGTTATCACAACATTAAAAAGCCGTTTACCTAACAGCACCAAACTAGTTCGCCCTTTAGCACCTTACTGGCGTCAGCCAGGTTCATCCAGCTGTGCATAAAGTACTTCTACGTGGACCCCAACAAAGGCTTGTAATGAAAGACAATTCCGCAAACCCACTCTCTTGAATCTGAAATCAAAACTCTCATAAAAGTAAAACAGCAAAGAACAAATAACTTAAACAAACAAATAAATGAACAAGAGCAAAAATATTATTAAACACTTCTGACGAAAAACTAATCTAACTATACAGAAGATAGGAAAACAATAACACAAGAATTGATGACAAACACAGGAATAAACCGTAAAAAAAGTTAACACGCACCAAGCTTGACTCTTTTGGTTCACTGGCGGGGGAGCGCAGCCGTGCACCACCAATTTTGTGCACCAATAAGCCTTGAATCGAACTCAACTCCTTGGATCTCTCCGGACATCCACCAATCAGCCGTGCACAACTCGGCTTTGTCTTCCTCCGGCCTCGCATATAGAACCTGCCGTGCACCACCAGGCCGCGGATCGAATCTGACTTCCGGACATCGTTAAAAAACGTAATTTTACGTTCACCGCATCTGAGTTTCAGATAGCATAGTTCTGTTCCAAAATTTATCGTCCTTCGACAAATGGCCGTT